GTCCTAGAGGCTCCGTGTAAACCTACATGGTTTCTCATTTCAGTGCACCAGCCTTAGTGAATACGATTTTGTTTATGCTGGAAAGAAGACACCAACTTGTTTCCCAAGCTTCAAATACTGGAGCTGGCTATGAATGCCAGATGGCTGAGACGCACACGATCTGCCCATGACCGTAGAGTTCTTAAAACAGAAAGGGCCGCCACCGGAAATGTCAGTGATGGAAGCCTGTGTAAGTACCAAACCACGTGGGCCTGTGGCCGGCCAGACAGAAAACAGGCAGCACCCTTCACCAGGGAACTTGGTACCTTCCTGTCTGGGGGAAACATCCGGTAGCTGCAGTGTGCCATTGGTACGGGATAGGCGTAGCCAGGGCCACACAGTGCCACTGCTCAGGCAAGGCCAGCTCACGTCTGGACGACGGGGTCCTGGTGTTCTCTAGGTTCTAGACTGGGAACTTGCACATTCTTAGGCACTTTGTGTTGTGGAGTTTGGTGTTCTCAGTGTCTGGAACACAGTCTGTGGAACATAGACATGCTTTATAAACACGTATTAAACATCTGAAAACCCAGTCATGTTGGGGGGGATTTGCTTGGCAATTGGAGAAGAATCTATGTGGTTCTCAACTACTTCACACAAAGATGAGGAAGCACCGAAGGCTAACACCCCATCTGGTTTTTCAGAAGCTCTGTCTGTACAGGGGTCTGTCCCTCCCTTCACAATTCCTGAGGTTTAGAAGAGAAAGGCAACGGTCAGCGGCCATAGCCTCCCCTGGGAAGATCAGGAAGCCACTAGGCTCCTCCCTCCCTGCCTCCCTGCTCCTCCCTGAACCTACCCTGCTCTCTGCCTCCTGAAAATACACGGAAGGCCCAGTCAGACAGGCGACAACTTGCTGATGAGGCCACAGAGACCGCATCGCCAGACATGTCATCCTGCACGGCACACAGAGTTACGACCGCCATACATCTGTTTCAGTTCACCAGCACAGGCTTGGGCCCAAATACACCAGACAAATCACCACCAGTGCGACATTCCCATAGTTCTGGGGACAAGCACTTTATTGAAGGAGGCATGCTTCCTTAACACTTGCAAGGCATCTCACTTTCCTTAGCATTATTCCATGCTGTCTGTCTTGAGTGAAAAAGAAGTTCCTTTTCTTAAAGATAAGTTGCATTAAGCTACAAATATTCCCACTCTCTTTTTTGGTGTTTTTGATAAAACACAGTTGCGCTGAGACACTAAGAAATCACAACCTAGAGCTGAAGAGAGTCTTGGGAGATCACCCACTTCCCCACTTGGGGGGCTTCTAACACGCTGCGTAGAAAGGGGGCTACTTCGCCACTGCTGATGTAACTGGATGGAGACTTCACATTCTCCCTTGACAGCCTGTCCTAGTGTATCGTCATCTTCGCTGTGCCTAATCAAAATTTCCCGTTTCACATTAAGTCAATTTCCTCTTTCTTACTCCTGAAAAAGACTCAGGACAAGCAAACAGAGCCCTGAGTCAGGGTCAGTAACAGAGTCTGGGCTCAAAGAACCGAAGGCTGGCAACCACGTCCCACGGGCCCTGAGCAGCTTTCTGCTCAGTGATGAGTGACACGCCCACTCCTCGGATTTCTCCCAAGTCAGGAGGCCCAGTGACCTAGGCACATAAGTGTGGTGGGAGGTTTGCTGACAAATTGGGTCCAAATCCCAGAAAGTGCCCCCCGCTGCAGGGCACTGCGACCGAGTGGCTGAGGCCCGTCTGTGCTGGGCAAGGTGGCTCCCCAGTCAGTGCGCCGTCCTGTGCAAGGCCTCTCGGTTAACTGCCCTAATTCAGCTGTTGTCCTGATGAGAAGTTTTAAAGTGCCAATTCAGCTATTTGCAGGATAATCCTACATTGTAAATAGTAATGTCTGCCTAAAATATATACGCCAAGTAACTTCCACGGTGAAAACCCAAAAGGTGATCGGGTGATCTTCCCACACCATTTTAAAAGTTAAAATGAATGGAGAATTATGTGTGCTAACGAAAAGGGAAGTGTTGATCCAGAGGTTTAATCTATATACAAACTTCTTAACGAGGTCGGTGTTGGGGTCCAGTTTGAACAGCACACACGGAATGACCATCCTATGGCGGATGCCCACAGATGTCCCCTCCGACCCTTCAGGGCTCTCCCCTCCTTGGGAGGGCCACTGAACCTTAGCAAAGGGAATCGCACAGCCCGAGGACACTCGGCAGGTGGGAGGACCTGAGTCTGCGGTGTTCTGGATGCAATGCCTGTAAGACCAAGCTGCCCCTCCGAAGAGGCCAAAAGCTTAATCAAAGACCAGTGCCTGACCTGACCGAGCAGAAAAATGTTTTGGTGAGAAGTTGCTGCCACGGGTGCCTGCTGGACTCTCAGGCTAAAACTGAACCTGGCCTTGAATCTTGCAGGTGTGTAGCAGCCAAAGGTCAAGAAATGCTCTTCCAGCAGAACACGTCTCCAGAGCTGGTGCCCTTCCGTCAGCCGCACTGGACACCTCTCTGCTCAAAGGCGCAGCTACGGAGGTGGCTCAGCGGGGTGGCCCCAAAGGACGTCCAAATGACACGAGTGATTAACATGTGGGCCTCCAGGCACTAGTCCCGATTTTCAGAACACCACTTCGAGCGAGCAGACAGCATTTCAGGAAGCCACGCTGGCCCATCAGCAGTTCCATTTTGCTGACCCTTCTTCTTCGAAGTCTTCACGAGGCTTTTTCCGAATGTAATCATTTAAAATAGCTTTCTTTGTGATTTATATTTTAACTCTGACCAGGATTTGTAAGTCCCCACAAGGAGGGCAGGATAAACAAAGTAAAATGAAGACTAAAAATTCGGATTGGATTTGAACAAATGAAGTCAGGGAGCAGCATCTCAGTGCAGCAACGGAGGCAAAAGCCAGCTTCGGCAAGGGTCACAGAAAGGGCGGGGGACGTAAAGAAACCAGGAAGCGCGGTCGACGCAGAACAGCACCGCGGTCTCGGTTGGGACCTGCAGACTCAGAGAGCCGACTGAGCGTGCCGCTCCAAGCCCTTTCGTGCACGGGAGACCTGAGCTTCGGCGGACTCTGGTGTCTGCCAGGCGTCCTGGACCAAGCCCTGTCGACACCGAGGGATGACTGGAGTTACGTTGTTGGGGAGTCAGAAGGTACATGTGGATTTTCAACTGCACGGCGGGGGTGGTGACGGGGTTCAGTTCCCCTAACCTCTATGTCGTGCAAGGTCACCTGTAACACGTAGACAATTTCCTGAGAACTTTGGTTCTAGAGAAAATGAGGGAGCTAGACTAGTATGTGGAAAAGAGAGTTAGACTCGGGGTGGGTGTGACTCCTGTTTAAGATGAGACACTCGAGCCCAGAGTTTAGAAATAATTAGGAAAATAAATTTTGATCTTATGATAAGTGTTCATATTTTATACTAAATATTGTCATAAGAAGAATGAGTTGGCCTTTGGAACTATCACTGACTTACATCTAAACCAAACATACCTAGTACATAAATCTGAACATATCACCTTGCATCCACCTTTTCTTAAAAGAAGGTGATTAAAAACATGCTAAAGGCCGAGCGTAACAGATGGACATCTCTGTCCTTTCCTCATTGCTGTGGTGAGGTAATCACGTACGGAACTTAAGGACTTCAGTATCCTTACGCCACACACTTCACATACCACACTGGCGCCGGGAGCTGCTGGAGAACATTGCATGGGTCACAGAATCACTCCCTGGGCATGTGAGTGCTCGGCACCCACGGGCCCTGTGACCGGGGGCCGGCACGGATGAAGCATCTCTGTGGAGCACGGCTTTAACAGGAAAGTTTCCCTGCCGTCACTCAGAAGTCATGGCTAAAACGGCACTGCACTCACTTAGTTTTAAACCAGTAATGATACAATCAGTCAAGTCCAAAGAGCAGATGACAGCGAATAAGATGAATTTCTGAAATGAAATGGAGAAAACTGACATAAGAAGTACCTGACCATGACTGTTTCATCTCATAGTGGGGTCGCTAGTATGAATGTCAGCCAAGAGGATGTGCAACGAAGTTGTTTGCTGATTCTTTAAAATGTTATTCTGATCCTTTTAAAACACTTGAGTTGAACTTTGACAACTTCTGGACCGGCTATTTGCAAGACACTTGTTACAGGGTGAGCCGAAATGATAAGTGCAAACCCAGTTCACAGGGGCAAGCGGGCAGGCTGTGCGCAACAGCGCCCGCCCTGTACAAGCAGCAGTGGCCCACCCTGGTCCCTGCACCCGGCCCTGCACCCCAGGGCAGGCAGAGGACCGTGGTGGGCGGCACGGTGTCTGAGACAGGTCTGCGTGGGGGGCAAGTCTCTACCCGGGACTCACGCCGCCCTCTGATCACATGTCTCCAGGGATACGTCCTTTAGACACTTCCAAAGTCACGAGTAACAGCAAAATTTTTGTGTGTTTCCCCATCCCAAAGCAACTTACAAAATAAGTCGATGTACAGGATGGGGCAGAAGTAGGTTTACAGTTGTGAGTATGCAAAACACAGTTCACTCCTGTGTTATTACTCATTAATTATGGTATTCTGTATTGGTATTGCAACTGCAAACCCATGCTTTTCCCACCCTGCATATAACAAAAACTATCAGAGTATTGAAAAAAGTTAATATTTGATTTATAAAAAATATTAACGGCCACACTGCAAGGTTCGCTGTGTTGACTTCTGGCAGAAATTGTCACCATATCTCCTGCCCCCACGCGGTAATTTCTCTGAAAAACAAGTGACTGAGAGACGGTGTAGAGAACAAACCAAAACTCTTGATGTGTATAAAACCTTTATGTGAGAGGCTTATACTTAAGAGCCAAAAATCCTAGTGCTGTTTAAAAAATGAATTTTGTATCACTGCTATTTTCTGAGCTTGACCAAAAGACAGATTTATAGCTACACCGAATGCAGGGTTCTAAACAGATTTGCGATGCCCTCTTTCTCCCAAAGTGAGGAAGAGTATAACCTGCAGGAAGATGCGCTACTCACCGCTATGATGTCCAGCGTGTTGTCACAGACCTTCCGGATCTCGTTATTCTTGTCGTGCATCAGGTCGATGAGGTACGCGGGGGCCTCTGAACACAAGCGGTCAAGGACACCGACGACATCTGAGGTCCGGGCTGTTCCATCCTCCTAAGCACACCCCCCATTTCTCTAAATTCAAGTGATAACTTGAAATTTAACTTCAAATTTTAGAATAAAATCATGAATACGACATGACCAGAAACATTTATTGTTTCATTTGTTTTGAGAACAAGGATGAGGAAGAAAAAAAAAAAACAGACAGAAATGGGTAAGAAAAACAGCCAGTAAATTTTAGAAAGTGCAAGGCTGTTACTTTTGAAAACATGGAAACTGCAAACAGAACTGGAGAGGGAGCTCTGCAGCCATGAAAGCTTTCTTGATCTGTTGGCCCCGCTGGATGTTCAGGAAAGTTAATTTCACACACAATGAACGGAAAAGAATCACAGTCAAATTCCATGTGTAATTGCTAAAGGAAAGAGGAAACCTAAGACACTTTCACATGAAAGGTAAAAACTGCGATCTAATATTTCAAAAAGAGGTAAGAGAATTCAGGAAAACAATAGTATATGAAAGGACATATAAGTCAGAATTAGAAAACTTTGAAATAGAATGATTCAGTAAATAAAATGATTTAATAAAAATAAAGTAAAAAATAATTTAAGATATATAAATCTAAATTTATAACACAAGAGTAAATGAAAATAAGATGAAATTTTAATTAAAATAGAAGGTAAAAACGGAAGAAAACTTTTTAAATCAAAGAATAAATGAAAGGAGATAAAAAGTTAGATACTAAAGATAGGCAAAGAAAATCCAATATAACATAAATCTCAAAGAAATCAACCAAAGCAATAGGACAGGACAAATACTAAAAACTATAATTCAAAAGAACTTTCCTGAAATTAAAACAACAACAAAAAAGACAAAACTACATACTGAAAGAGCACCTTTGCATACTTGAAAAAAATCAGGCAAGGATGTCAAATTCCAATGAAACCACTTGGCTTTAAAGAGACAGAAACATTCCCGTGGTCTTCCTGGCAGAAAGACTGACTCATTTATAAGGGGAAGAAAAGTAAGTTGTCATCAGACTTTACGACAGACACCAATAATGAGTGGACTACAGATTTCTCAGTGGCAGCAATTCAGGCCAGAAGACAGTGGAAAAATACCTTCCAGTTGCTGAGGAAAATACCTGGCAAGCTAGAACTCCATATTCGGTGAAATTATTCCTAAAGAGGGCAAACTGGCTACTACTCCTGCTGGGAAGGAGGGAGGCACAGGACCCGAAAGGCTAAACTCAAAGATGGCTCATCAATGCAGTGCTGCTGAGGCGGCGACTATCGGGGAGATGGAAGGAGAGCACCCCGTTTGAGGCGGACAGGGCACCTGGAGAGGCGGTCAGTTCTGACAAGGCGGGTCCTGTCCGGTGAATGATGAGATGTGGTGTGTAAGAGAAAACTGTTCGGAGGAAGGTTCAAGGGGGGCTTTGGGAAGTGAAGGTCAGGTTGTGAAGACCTACATATGCTAAGGCAAAGAATTTAGATGTTCACAATGAAGACTTCTACACAGTGGGTTTCTAAAGCAGATTTACGGGGGTGGGGGGAGGTACACAAACAAGCAGAGCACCACAACTTAATAAAAATAAGACAAAACAATCCAGCTCAAACACCACTCCCTCTGCCAGCCTCTCACGACATCCCCAGACGTAGCTAGATATCCTCTCATGTCCTCTGCACGTATCTTTTAGGATTCCGGTTACACCCCATCATTCCTGTGTGTTTCCAATCTACTTGTCTGACTCTCCAACAGACTATACAGTAACTCCTTGAGTACATCCAACACTCAAAGCAATGTTAGATGCTCAGCACTAGAGAATCATTTGCAGAGTAAGTGATTAACTGTGTGGTAAAAGAGACAGCAGACAAGAATCTGCAGTCATGGGACTGGCAGACAACGCTGCTATTATCCACTGTGACTGCAGAAGGGAGACTGTTTCCCAGGTGCAATAATGATAAACCACCACTCAGTGAGTAGCTCTCTGTGCTGGGAACTATCACAGCACTTCGAATCCACTGGTGCTTATAACAATCCTACCGGGGTGAGGTCTTCTTCTATGCAATAATACTATGGCCATTTCAGAGATGCAAGACTGCTCAAGCAGGCTGGTTGGCTTATCCAAGGTCCTGCAGCCAGTAAGTAGTAAAGGTCATTAAAAGTTACCTTCAGGGTTATGTGATCAAAGTGCTTCTCAGGCGACACCACACCGGGCCCCTCTTGGTAGGTGCAGGACATTCAGACCGCAGCTAGCCTGGCCCTCAAGAAAGAGGTTTAAAAAATACTGAATACTCTGCCTATAGTTGGTAGCTGAAGCCAAGAAAAAAGGTGTGTTTTCCCATGTAGAGTGAAAAAGGTAAGATTGAAAGAGAACTGAGGATAGTCCTAGGAACCTCTGGCAGTGCAGCTAATGTTAACAGAGAAGAGAGTGCTGACATGTCTGTCTGTTCAGTTTCTTAGTGATCACTGCCAACAAGTTAATAAAATTACCCCCAATGTATTCTACCTGCATAGTGATTTGGGGTAACAGCTTCCATGAAAAATACATTGCCCTCTAAATGTATTTCAAAGCTTAACATTTTCTACATTTTCTGAATGTTTGCAAAAAAATAACTAAAGCTTCATCTTTTCTACTGTGTGAATGTCATTAGGTATTGCAAACACTGAGAGGATACGTGTTTCCTTAATTATGACGTCTCTTGTGGCTTGGTGGAAGACCATCTGGTAGAAGACATAAATTATCTGGCAGACAAATTCATCATCTTCTTGTTGAGCTGAAAGGAAACAGAAAACTTTGAATAAAAAGAATACTATGCTTATCTACAAAATTTTTAAAACCTTGACAAAAAATCTAAAAATGACCAGGAGACAAATAAAAGGCAATTAGTTTACATTCTTTATAATACACAGGTGGTAGATGTCATTTATATCTTAGGTGTTTTTCCTACATTACATGATGACACAGTGAGGAAATTCTTAATATATTTTTAGAAGTTTTAGTCAATTTGGTTGCAGTTAGACTAAGTCCGTTAAGTTATTTTGGAGTACACGAAATAAAAAGAATTTGAAGAAGAAAGCTTCTACCATTATCTGAGTTTAAACCAGAGTACTTGAGATTACTCAAGTCCAAAGACCAGGCTTAAGGACTGAGGGACAAGATCGGTTGGAGAGAACAGTGACAGCGAAACTGTTCAACTCTGTGTCCCTGATGTGAGTGAGGCGGCAACTCTTATTTCCACTTGTTTTGATTTTTCTTATTCACAATAAGAATTCTTTAAACAACTGTACTTTGTGAAGTAAACTGGTTCTATTTTCCTCACCAGGAACTAAATGAGCTGATAACTATGCCCTGGGACTTCCCAGCCTCCAGAAATTTCTGTTGTTTCAGCCACCCAGCCTGTGGCACTTGGTTAATGGCAGCCCGAGCAGACTACGATCAGGTCCTGGAAAATTCAGTCCTGACAGAATAGCATTAGATTCAGATAAATTCCGTGTGCAACGTGGAGAACAGTGAACCCATTAAGAGCGTTACACGGGGGAGGGGAAGACTCTGCCCAGGCCTCCGCTGCCCATTACTGTAACCATAAGCCACTGTGGCTAATTAGATTAACATTTAAGTAAATGAAAACTCAGGTTCTCAGCATCAATAGCCACAGGTGGTGGACAGAGAGAGGACATTCTCTTCATTTCAGGAAGTTCTGAGGACAACACTACATCTGGTCCTAGGAGATACTATGACACTTAGAATTAACTTCCAAATAAACTTTCTTGATTAGACACCAAGATATTAAAAAAAGGGTTTGCGCAAGACTGGAGATCTAATACAAAGTTCGACTGGAGGAAGAAATGGCAGAACCCTAGGGGGTCAAGGCTGACGAGAGGAGGGCAGCATCTAAATTAGCCCCGAGTCGCTGTACAGCACGCTGTTTCTCTGTTCGAGCTAGAAAACTTTTAGCTCACCTGGTAGTAGCCGAGCATGTGAATAATATACAGAGGTTGAGCATATACCCACATAGGCTTGTATTTATACGACTGGACCAGGAATGTCAAAGGCAGAGCAACAAGACTATGGACTCTGGGGTTGGAGACTTGGACTTACTAGTGATGTGTTCGGGTTCAGAAAGCAAGACGTCAGCAGGTGAGTGCCCTAGATTAAGGTAAAACTCCACAGAGCAACACTCTCAGCTCTGATAATATTCCACCTAACCCCAGTGAGAGTTACACTTAATTCGTTTTCACAACCACATAATTTGTTATAAGAACATTAATGTAATAAGGTGACAATTCGTGATTCTAGACTCTATTTAATATTTAAAAACTTAAGTTCACAGCCGTTAGTTAATATAGCATAAAGGCAGAGTAAGAAGAGTTGTGCCTCACCATTCAGCAACTCGATGAGCGCAGGGATGATCCCAGACTTGGCCAGCAGGGCGGCGCATGAGTCGTCCATGGACACCGTTCCGATCATTATCACCACTTCCAAAACGAGGTCATCCTCAGCAGCACCTGACAGAGGCGAACCACAGAAAGTCTGCACCAAGTACCACCACAACGAAAAGATCCTGAAAGCTACGAAATCAGTTCTTATAAAGCCTTAACATGGTTATAGATTTGTCTTTTTCCAAATTTCTATGTTCACTGATGAGTTTGTGGTTGGCGGGGAGGGCAGTAGAGAAGTAGAAATTAAGTCTTTGGAAATACAAATGAATGACAATTTAAACACAGAAATTAAAGAACTCACTTGAATGCCCTAAAGAACACTGTGCGTGTTATGTATACGTGGGAGGGGGGACCCAAAAAATCCTGGAATTTATGTATAAGAAATTGTGTATTTATTCTTAGGTGTTTAAACTTCAGTCACTTGCGAAGCATTCTCCATTTGATGCAATGCACCTATTGAGACATTTTTCCCCTGCCCAAAATAGTTTCTGAACTAGTCGATTTTGATGCCTCTTAGTGCTTCAGCTGTTTCATCTCATACCATGTGGGCAAAACGTTTCCCTTTGAGAACTTTTTTCATCCAGGGAAACAAGTCACTCAGGGTGAGACTGGGTGAATAGGAAGGGTGGGGCATTGAGGTCTTGCGGTTTTTGGTCAAAAACTGCTGACCACTCAGCAAGGTGTGGGCAGGTGCATTTGTAAATCACCCACTAGGAAATGGGCAAGCATGTTGAAAGAGTCTTCAAAAAAATTCACCAAAGCCAAACACAGCCTCTCACAACAACACCAGCTGGTGCACTAATCCAGATGGTTCCTAGAACATTCACCCACGGAGGAAGCCTGGACTGCAAGGGGCCTGCCCTCCAGAAGATAATTTGGTTGTCTGGGGGTTCCTCTCATATGCATGTTCAGAAGGAGATGGCATTTGGTAATTTTTAAAAGGCAGGATTTGAAAAAATAAGAAGGAAGAACTGAAATAACTAATATTGTTAGGAAAAAAGAGTCCATACGTCTAAGAGGAGGACTATGACCACCTTTCTGGGAGGAAGAAGCTAGAACTGGAGGTGTAGGGGAAGATGTGCTACCCAGCACAATAAGGTTGAAAAATAGCCGCCTGCTCTAGTGGCCTTGCCTACAACGTAAAGAAATAATTTAATGACTAGACAAAATGGAGATGCTCAGCACAGACCTGGTTTTAGTTTGTCCTTGAGGTATGGAACCAGCTTGTACTCTTTAAGAACCAATTCCCAGTCTAAGTCTGGAATGGTCAAATTTGCAAGTGTTCCCAAACACTCAATCACAAACTCCTCCTCTTCGTCATTGGAGATCTGGGCTGCAAGGTCTCCAACATAATCCTGAATAAAAGAGAATTTCAATACAAATGTAAAGTATGATTTCTGCAGAAGAACCACTCTAATCATTTACCCCAAGGGAAGGAAAAATAAGTAGCAAACACGACTCTCTAGTTTTCATAACTTTGAGCTGATTGCTGAGGGAGCCCGTGGTGGACTGGTTTAAGGCACGAAAGCTGGAGTGAGGATGGAAGGGCAAGGGGTAGGGATCACACAACAAAGCAGCATTAAAACCCAGGTTGAAATTTCCAGGGGTTAATCCTATGTGGAAGTGGATGACAGAAAGCCAACCTGGGCCATGAGTTAATGTTGGACTCAGTGAAAGTTAAACCCCCAAGCGTTCCAGTGAAGATTCAGGCCTCAGGCCGCATCAAGAGGCAGCAGGTCAGAACACTAGACTCACAATAAACAAATTTTTAGTTGGTCCGTCGTGCTGGGAAATGTTCCTGATCATTTTCATCAGCAATGGGTCCTTGAACTTCAGAGCCCTCTTCATGAGCATCTTTAGTCCATTGCCTGAGAGAGAAACACCAAAGATTCCCCCAATAAAATGAAGGTGCACTTAAGTTCAATAATTTTTATTTGTAGTTTACAAAAAAGACAGTTTACATGCAGTAAGATGCATAACACCGAAGTGTCCAACAGATTCACTTTGACAACTGCTGCCCGGTGTCATTCGGACCGTTTGGGAGATACAGAATACTGCCCCTCACTCCCCGGTCCCCTCTGCCCCAGTCAGTCCTAGTCCCCAAATGCAACCGCTCTCCTGCTTTTCTCCTCCATTTCCTCTTCCTCCTCTTCTCTCTTCCCTCTCATTAAACACTGAGTAGTTTCGCCTGCTCTAGAACGTCACATACAGGGAATCACACAGTATGTGCTCTTTTTGTACAGAGTATGTGCCACAAATTTAAAAACTGTAAGTGCTCATTGACCCACAAAAATGGCACTTCTAAGAACTCATCCTAAGAACGTAACAATGGAAGAGTGGAGCAGCTCACAGAAAGGCACGTTACTGCATCGCTGTCTGCCACAGAAAAGTTGTGGCAACAAACCAAGTATCTAAATTAGCAGATCAAACTCCAGAAAATCCTTTAATGGATTATTTTGTAGCTAAGGGCAGTTGTGTTTATGAAAGCATTTAACTACATGGAACAGTATTCGATGCATTCAATACATTATTAACTTAAAAATGACATTAATACATAGAGAAAAGACCCCCATTTCAATTTAAAATATGCAGAAGTATTGCATCAAAATTTTATCTATGATTACCTCTGGATAGTGAGACTAAAGAGTTAATTTTTTTCCTATTTGCTCATGTGTACTTTTTGTAACAAACGTGTATACTCTTCAAATAAGAAAAAAACTATCAAGGAGACTCTACAATATCATAATGCATGACAGGCAATTTTTTGAGGACACCACAGGAAGAAATAAATACCTAACACATTTGTACTGTGCTATCCTACCATGTCACAGATGACTTTGCAAATTAAAAATTTTATTTCATCTAGGAAACATTTTTAAAAATCAAATTTCAAATAAGGTGTATAAAATGTTATGGGTGTCTTCTATTCATGATAAGAATATTCTGAGTCTGTCTGACCTTTAAGATTATAGCTATAGTTTAAAAAGGTCTTTTAAAATAGACTTTATACAGCTACCATAATTCTAAATTCCTTGTTATCTATTTTGAATGGCCATATGACAGAGGTCACCTACGAAGGCCGAAGGCACTGACCTTCACAGATAAGCTGTACATTCCTCTTGTTCGCAGCAAGATTAATGCAGAAAGAAATCAGTTCCAAGTCAATCCGCTCATCTGAACACTCAAAGAGCATCTTCATTAACTAGCAAGAAGCACAAGGAATATTTTACTCAAAGATACACACAAACACACCAGTGTCAGTAGTTTATTGCAATGTGTTCTCTTAGATTGTATGTTGGAAATAATATAACACAATTACATTTTCAACATAGAGCAGTGGTACCCTCTCACTACTGAATGATTAAATGAATAAATGGTTAATGAGCTACTAGATGTCTAGATTAAGTACAAACTTCCAAGTAAAGTGGAGAATACACGACAAATATCGAATAAAGCCCACGCGTTTAAGAAATATGAGGTTGTGCAGAAGCAGAGCATTGCAAGCACAGACAGCACCGTGGTCCAATTTGCCAGGCGGGCAAGAACGCGGTGCTGCTGAACACCTGAAAGGAGGCGGCTCGGCTGGAGTGGAGGAAACAGTGCTGAGAGACAGGATGGCAAAAGCCAGATCATGCAGCGGCCTGAAGTACATGCTGAGGATTTAGGACTTCGTCCTAAAGATAATGAAAAGCCATCAAAAGCTTCTAAATAAGGAACGTGTCAAAGGGAGATCCAGGTTTCAAACAGATCTGGCCAGTGCAGAAAACAGACTGAAAGAGGCGGAGAAAAGCCCAGGAAAACCCGCCAGGAGTGTGGAGGAAACACCGGGGTGGATGACGGTCCCCCCGTCCAGGGAGGGCAGTGGGGACGCAGGCGAGAGGAAGGACGGAGATACAGTCGGGAAGGAGACCCAGTGCCAGGTTCCATCACATCACTGACCGGGTGTGGGGGCTACGGGGGAGGAAGGAGGGAGGGTCGGCGGTGGCTCCCCATTTCTGCACCGACAGGGATGGTGGTGCCAACGTTTACCAAAAAAAGAGAGAAAAAGGAGAAAACTTTAAAGAGAAGACGGTGATTTGGGTTTTTCGTATGCTAGTTTAAGGAACCTCTTCAGTAGTCTACTGGCTACTCAGTACGAGTAATAGATGCAGGCCTGGGGTTAGAAGAAGTGTTTGAACTGGAGGGATACTTTCAGAAATTGTCACATCTAGCTGATACCTGAAGCTGTAGGCTGGATCCAACTCTCTGGGCGTGGGTAGAAAAGGAGGAGAGAATTTTATTTAGGATGGAGGGAAAGGGAAGGAGTCAGAGAAGCAGCAGGCAGAACAGTAGGAAGGAGAAGGCAGGCCGCCCACGCCCTTTAGCAGCCATTGAGAAAGTCGTGGTGAGAGAGAGGCCATCACAGAGGAGAAATGAACAAACTCCGAGCTACAGTTCTGAGAAGCTGCTCTTCTATTACTAGCAAATCAGCAAATTAACTTAGGGTGTATTTTATGTCAAGATATTTTTCTCTAAGTCAAATGGCTAACAACATATAGACTTTAATTTATAACCTAAAGAGTTCTGGTTTCTTTTCAGGGTAATACCTTTTCAGATCAACATGCCTTCCTGAATGAAACACAATGCCTTATACACAGAAAGCAAATAATAAGTATTTGTTGACTGGTTAGACCCTATTCTATTAAACCTGGTTTTGGTTATTCTCTATGTCAGTCCCAGATAACTTCCAAGTTTCAAGAAGGGCGGATACATGATCAACACAGAAAGTCAATCATGTTTGTATGTGCTCACAGGGAGTACCTGGAAACCAAAGTACTTAGGTATAATTCTAACAAGCAGACACACACACATATACATAAAATCTGCTATATGCTGAAAAGTACAAAATACTGGAGCAGGTTGGTGTGTATCACGCCTTTGGTGGCTCCTTAACCACAGATGTTGCTGCTAATGGAAACTTTGGGAAAGGAACCATTAACACTTAATGATGCTACAGGCCAAGAACTTCTGTGGCCGAAATACAGTACCTAAATTTGTTGGACATACATTTAACGGATATGTTACCTATCTATAAATCAACTGCCGACTCAAACAAATTACAAATTGATAAAGTTGTAGGTGACAATCCTCTAATTAATGTAATTAGTATGTTTTTCTTACTCATTAAAAACCTACTTCCAAACTTTCTTCCAGAAAGATTTCTTTCCAAACTTTCCTTGATACAAGAACTCTTTGTAATAACAAAAATATGTCACATAAAAGCAAAGCTTTAAGAAGGCAAAATATCTGCTGTTATTTACTCGAAATTAAACTTGTAGTAGAAAAATGGCCCTTAAAATCGGGGTTACAAGTCATTTGTTTAGAATCTAAGAGTTTTCATTTTTTGTGATATCCCTGTTACATCCTGTGGTAAAATAATCAGGAGCTAGATTTTTTAAAAATGATTTGTAATATTATCCAAACCCCACCCCCCAAAATCAAGAGAAATTAGAACTAAATGTGAATTAAATGTATCATGATATTGAATTAGTTTTTCATAATAAGAAAGAGAAACACTTCAGTTTTAATTAAAGCATTCACATTTTAAAATAATAGTTCAGTTCAAACTCCACGTGCCACATGATGTCTTTAATTTGATTGCTGCCCATTGCACTTCAAAAGTAAGCGTAATTGCTGACAACTAGGAAATATTAAAACTAGATTTGTTCTGCTTTAACTGTGTCCATTGTCATCTTTTACTAATTTAACAGGAAGGCCCTTAAAGGGCTTCAGCCTGTGCAATGAGGAGGCAATGGTGTTCAATCAGACAAGTCCCATATTGAGTATCAGATACCAAAGACCCACGACTGAAATCACTGTGTCTAGACTCTCTGGCACCTGACTTTACTTATTTACCAGTGACCAGGGGCCAACCCCCACAGCTCTCTGCATTCACATACACCTCTACCGCCCTTGCCCCCCGCCCGAACATCTTTGAATGATTATGGCAGAACCTCGCATGCCTCAGGAATCTCTTCTGACTGGCTACTCCCTAACTGTGCTGTTTGAAGTGATGCTCTGGTTTCTGAACTTCAGCAGATAATGGCAGGCAGGAGCAAAGGGGGCTGTCAGAAAGGACGTTTACCAGCATTCAGCTAAAAAGAAGCATGTAGATCAAAGAGGGGCCAAGCAGGACAACTGTGGTGGAAAACATGTGGATCACTAGGAAGATCCCTGCACACTGTTCCAGGGGAAAATATTAAATAACACTATGACATCATTACCTAAACATGCACTTTGATTGGCCACTCTATTACCAATAAATACTTTTATAAGCATCTGGATGGCATTTGCACCTATTTAAACAAAGCATGCATCTTAGAGGTCTAAATAACAATGAACTGTTAATGTGTACTTTTAACTATTATTAGAATACAACTATTAACTCCTGGCTATCCCCAAGTCTGCTTACCTAAAACGATTCACCCACTGAGGCCGTTAAGATCATACATAAAGGAAGACTTGCCCTGGCCCCCAAATTTTGCAGAATACTGACATAACAGAGAAAAATGAGAATATACTGGATAATTAGAGGCGATAAAACCCAAAAGAAGCAAAACAACATAATATTGGGACAGATTATAAGGCACGCTGAATATACACTCACTCCAAATGTTAAATAATTTTCAAATGTGAAATTTAATCTAATCATAGGTTTACCCTATAAAACATGTACAAAGAGATCAGTATTGAAACTGGACTGTAGATGGGCCCTGAATGATGGGGAAAAGATCTGACGTGTAACTAATAGCAGCATACTTCTGTACAGTGTTTCGCAGTTCAGAAACCCCCCCGACACACGCCTCTGATGCACTGAAAGAACATGAGCAAGACGGCACACGTTTTGATCACTGCGATGAATGTGAACCAGCCCTGCGCCATGGCCTCCGCACTTCCGCAGCGGCAGTCCTCCACGAGCTCTACTGAACAGAAACCTAACGTGCAGAGCCTCAAAGCGAACCGAGTACGGCATTGACTCTGAAGCATTCTGAACCCCTTGTATGTCCCCAACAGGTTCAGCAGTTGTGGTCACCTATGAGCTGAAGCTGCCTGGTGTTACAAGCATTACCTCAAAAGCCAATACCTCTAAAAGGAGTGTATTTTTAACTCCTGAAGGAAGCTTGGAAATATCCCTTTAATTCCAGAGTTGCCTTCAGTGACTCTTTCATTTTACAATGAACCTGAAACTTGGGAGCGATCAAACCCTGTCCACTTTTCCCTAAACACGAACATTTCAGAACCGAGCCCTAGAAAGTGTGAGTCCGAGGTCCCACAGCCCTTGTGGGACTCCGGAGAATGAGGATGCTCCAGAGAATCATTCAGTTTCTTGTAATGTGGCCTTACTCTAAAAAGCCTTACAACATTTATGACATAATTTGGTAATATAGCCTCACCTATTCCTATAAGGGTTGAACTCTTAAAAAGAAAAAGAAAACTAAGTGTTGACCACAAAATGAGTTTTAGAAGGTTCCGTTCATAAAGTGCACACCATACATGCTCTGAAAACCTCACTGCAGTCATGTGTGATGTCCGAAGACGATATGGCTGGAAAACATGCCTGAACGTTGTTTTTTTAAAAAAGCAGGAGGAAGTTTTCTACACATAACGTTGTCAACTGCAATAGATAATAACAATGTCTCAAAGGTAACCTAACCGGCCTCTCATTTCTGATTCTTTATTTAAAATAAAGTTTTATATTTTATATCTGAGCTATACATTCTAAAAGAGAAAAGTAACTCCGAATTCAACAAAGTTTTTTTACTCCCTTTTCAGTGTACATTTATCTTTTTAAATTTAATATTATTCTTTAAAAATCTAAACCGGATAAAAACAGTCCATCCAGGCCAGACTATTACTCGGTTTTGGCTGCCCCCCCATTCGCATCCGTGCTCACGGAAGCTGTGGCGCTGAGCAGGACTGAAGGAGGAGAGGGCTCTGAGACTGCACAGCCGCAGCCTGGGAACATGTGGCGTGAGACGGCAGTAAATCACCTGTGCTTTCCCTTTGACACGGCTGCTCTTTCATTGAGAACTTGTTTGACAAAAGGTTTGATTACACTTCGCATTGGCTGCAGCCTGACATGTGCTATCTCTATAAAAACCCTTGCCTTGTTAGATAAAATGTGCTGCATGTTCTTCCTAGGATGTCTAGTTCCTCTAAACAAGCACAGTTAGTTTACCTCCTGACATGAAAGGCTAAGAGATAATCCTTGAGGTTTTATCAGTTTTTTAATTGCATGTAAATAAAATTCTGAAATATAAAATTCAAGTTTTGAACTGTCTTACTGCTTTGGAATGAAGAAAAGGATGGTCAATTAATGAAAAGAGAAATTATGGTCTATTTTTTACTACTTACTAATTATTTTTCAAGTAATATAAATTTCATAACTTACATTAGGCTAACAAGAAATTATCTTTTAGGAGTCTTAAGAGCATTTACCTTTAATAAGTATAGCCTACTATTCATATTTTTCCAAAGTGTTTTTTTTAAAGTATAATTTCTGGTATATGTTATATATCCTGCAATTTTGCTCTCTTTTTAGAAAAACTTTTTATAGAAAATATTGTAGTATGAAAAATCAGCACAATCAGAGCTTGAATCATCAGATAATCAAATTACTAGAACTCAGTTTAATAAAGGTTAATGGCACACAAGTTATTCTATGAATGTAAATCTTATAAGAGTAAAATCATAATGTATAGAATCTAGGCCCTTGCAGTTCATGGAGGAAAAAACCATCGAACTCCTTCAAGACCAGCAGACCTAACATATAAAATACATCAAGCAACTGAGAACAGTGCTATACAAACAAAATAATTTTGATGAAGCATTTTCCCATCAGAGAACGCGAAGCACTCAAAACCATCAACTATAACAGAATCAAAGGGCAAGTGACAAAGCTGGGAAATGTCTGTAATATGGCAGGGTTAAAATATACATGTACATGTATCTTATTTATTAACCATGAAAATATCAACATGACAATGGAAAAACTGGCAGGGGACATGGATGAATAATTTATAACAGAACATGGAAAATAAACATGTAAAAATGTTCAAACTCACTAGTATTCACAGAAATGCAAATAAAAAGAAACAGACCCTCCACTTTTAGGGAAATGGTAACACCCGGTGTTGTTGACAGTGACATGCTAGTTGGAAATATCAAATATGTCTTTTTAAAAGGCTGCCTGGCCACAAAGCATCAAATACACAAGTGTTCCTGCCTTTTGACCTAGCAATTCTACTTTTAGAAATTTAAAAAGAGAAAACAGAGAAATGGATAAGCATTTGTATACAGTGATATTTACTCCACATTTTTTCATTTGCCTATATATGTTTACTTACATCTGTTTTTATGTAAGAAACTAGAAAAAAACTAAACATACAATTTAATAGTATGTACGTTATGGTACATTTATGCAATTGAATATTATACAACTATTAGACATTTCTGAAGAATGTTCAATGGCACGTGAAAATACTTATGGTCTATTCAGTGAATAAAGTGATCTACAGTTACGTAGAGCATATAATCCCGATATATTAATTTTCCCAATGTAAAGAGAAATGGGCTAAAATGTTGAACAAGTATCTCTGCGTTTTGGATAACCAAGTCATTTGCAGTTTATACTGTTCTGTATTTATAATATATCGGATTTTTTTAAACGATTTTTGTTTTTAGGGAAAGGATATCTGGCAAATGAAGAGAAAAAAGTGAAAGCTATGTATTTCTGAGCGCTCTTCGTGGTAAGCACAGGAAGCCACTCACCTGAGGGATGCAGTCAGTGTACGCGAACATGGACTTGAAGCGGTCGTCCATGCTGATGTGGTAGAGGACGCACATCGCGATCTGCTTGTAGTTTTCATTGCCTGCGGGAAAGAGACCATGGACATGGTCAATGGCCTTTATATGATTGAGTTTTTTGGTATAACACACTCAAATTGATGCGTTAAAAGTTACAAACTACTGAATCAAACTCTTATATGACCCTCACCTAGACAATATGCCAAGCTCCCTTTATCAATTCTGAAGTATAGAGCCAACTATCTGTGAAAAATCACTAATTTCTACAAGATAATGTATATTTTGCAAGGTATGTTTTTGGAAAAAAAATTAAGCCCAAACTTAAGAATTACTCATTTTCTGTAGCCCACTATAAAATTGGCCTCCCACCCTTACTTTTTAAATGAAAATATGAGATTAACATAGTTCATTAAAAGTGATAATGTATAAGAAATAGTAAACAAAAATATCCCCAGTTGGGGTGCGCTTGGGAGCCAACCAACCGATGTTTCTCTCTCTCTCTCTCCCCCCAGCCCCACTTCCCCCTCCAAAATCAATAAACATATCCTCAGGTGAGGATGAAAACATACATAATGATAAAATGCCAAAGGCTATAAATAAACCTGGCACACTCTACAGCGTAAGGACTGTCTCCGAACTGCTGAGGTAAAACAACCCTAGTTTCGTATACTTTGAAACGGAACAAAGAAGAGTGAGCGACCCTCACGGCCCTGGAAGACGAAACGAGGCTGCACTAGGCCTCGTGGTTCCTCTGCCCGCGTGCACACGGCCGTGGCCTGAGGCCCTGCGTGTGATTCCAAAGTCCTGACAGAACTAGAGCTGCTTAGCTAAAAAGCTTTATCCCCAAAGCGGTATTCTTTTTTGAAAATTGTGGGCTGTAAGAAATCCTTGAAAACATTTAGAGTGAAAAAATCAAACATATAAGTAAATTTAGTTGATAAACAATGTATCAAGAAGCTTATTAAATCTATTTTAACAGGGAGAATAAACTCAGCACCTTGATCCTTGTGTCTGCCATAGCATAAAATGGCCAAAATAGTGTTTTTAAAAATACTGTTTTATATTCTTACTGAATTTTTCATCTACTAGGCATATTCTAAGGTGGTTATAAATTCTTACAAGGTATAGTAAAGCACATGGAAGCTTCCCAATAAATATCTGTGGATTGATTCTGTTTTTAATTAACGTGATAACTGTAGTTAACACTACTGTACTATATATTTGAAATGTACTAATAGAGTGGACCTTAAAAGTTCTCACCACACACACACTGAGGAAGTGACTGTGAGGCTATGGGTGTGTTCACCAGCCATCCTGTGGGGATCATTTTGCCACACATACAGACATCAGATCGGTACGTTGTATACCTTAAACTTACATAATGTAATACGTCGCTTAGATCTCATAAAGCCGGAAAAAAGAGCAGTGTTAGCTGTAGCTGGTGTGGCTCAGTGGATGAGTGCTGGCCTGTGAACCAAAGGGCTGCTGGTTCAATTCCCAGCTAGGGCACACACCTGGGTTGTGGGCCAGGCCCCCCAGTAAGGGGAGCACCAGAGGCAACCACACATCGATGTTTCTCTTTCCCTCTACTTCTCCCTCCCCACCTTTCTCTAAAACAAATAAACAAAATGTTTTTTTAAAAGAAAGTGCAGTGTTAGATTTAAAAATCTCTCACTAAATTGGACAAGAACTGCCACGGCGCAGTGTTTGATTTTGGGAGACAACAAGGTCCTGGAAGCCTACAAGCCAGCAGACTGGGACACAGAGGCGGCAGCACCTGGGGAAGAGCGCAGGCTGCGGAGGCCAAGGGCGGGGTCCCAGCCGTGGCCCTGCCGGCTCTGCGGCCTTGAGAGCGCTGACCTCTGGGGGCTGCAGCTTCTTCGTCTGTGCGGTAGGGACAGCAACTGCACCTACCCACGGTTGCTCTGTGGGGACTGAGTGACAGAGCCCCGGTAAAGCATCAGTACGGCAGCATCTGACCCAGAATAAACCAATCTCAGTAAGTCTCACTTTTCACCAGCTGTATTATATTGAGGACAACATTTCTCTGCTTCACCGATACAGCAGGATGCTCCGGTGTCCAGTGCCCCTCGTATACACTTTGTGTCTTTCATCCTCGAGGTCTGACCGTGGTTAAGAGTCAAAGCAGGGCAGGGAGGCAGCCGAGTCCCCTGAGAGCCGCAGGACGGACGGCTCAGCCAGGCCAGCAGAGCCCGGCTGTGCTGGGAGCACGGGCCCAGGAGGGCAGGCGGCCCTGCTACAAGGCCGCACTCTCCTGTCCTCATCGGTTTACACAGTCCTTGACGGAAATTAACTGGAGAAAGGAAAACCGTCACAGTGCAGATCACTGTCACCAGCCTGTGTTCCTCCACCTCCACTGCCGCCACCACGAACACTGACTGTCTCCTCCTCCTTCTGACCTTCCCTGCCTGTCCCAGAACCGGACTCCCTGACAGGGTGGGGCATGGTCCCGGAGGGGGTGGGCTATGCAGAGGACGGGAGGACACAGAGACAAGCCAGAGAAAGCGAAGACAAACCTCCCAATGAGCTACCTGCCCGCCTCCACCGCTGAGCAGCATACACGAGGCAAACAAAACCCGAGGGTGTTTCCCTCCATGTCCAGGCCAAGCACGAGTGAACACGAGAAACCAGGATGTGACCTGCACTGCACGGGAGACTCTCCCAGAGCACAGTGTACAAGGAGGTGACAGCCATGGAAGAGCTGTGGTCCTGGACTTGGAGGCCTGTGGGCCTGGTGGCTGACAGTTTGCTAGGTTTCATCCAGGTAGAGGCTCCCTGGAATTCAACCAGTTGGTTTGCAAATATCTGTAAGACTGATTTTCATCCCTTATTAGGTTTAGGAGTGAACAAAGATATAAACCGACACTCACCCTGTTATTCAGAAGAAAGAGGTGAATATTTTCTCAATGGCCTTGTTACCCAGATGTCACCCGGGTTCTGATTCAGGTCCTGCTCCATGTCACGCACTCCTTCCCCCTCTAGACAACTGCAGTAGATGCACGAAGATGACGGTGCACAGACCACAGGGGACTTATGCACTGGTCGCCTGGTTTAATCACTGTATCAATGATTAACCTAATAAAATGCAGCCTATAACTTTATTATGACGTCCATTTGCAGATCATGTAGCAATAAACAGTCATTAAGAGAGATTAAATGGCCCAAGTAAAATAAGCTAATAATCTTCTTCATTGAAAGAAAGGATATCTTAGTTCTTAAAACATAAACCTAAAAAAAAAAAAACCCAAACCACCCAACAATCTTGTAGCTGCTGAATGAATCCGAGGGGCCGCAGGGCATGATTTTCTCCTCAGGATTCATGGCTAAAACCCCTAAGCTCCAGCTCACCAGCTACGACTCCTCCACATCCTACACGTTGGCAGGCATTTCGAAAGGGCTCCTTGAAGACTTACAGACATCAATCATTCCTGAGCAACACCCCAAGTCACAACAGGCTGCCAATTGTCGGCACACGGGCATGGCACCAAAGGCACTGGGGATTCTGAGCAGGGCAGTGCAAGGCTGGCTACTCTGAGAACTAGGCCTTAATGGCTAGAGGTAGATTAGTCAAATCTGTTCAAGTAATAAGGCCAGAGTGGAAAAAAAACGGCTGGGCATTATGATTCTTTTGGTATTTATGGTAATAAACATGAATCATGATGAACTCACTGGCTATTAAACGCAGAGGTCCTAAGTACTTCGATAGGATTTCCACAGGAATTCACCGTTAATTAGCTGGATCATTATTTGAAAGTGTTCCTGAATTATCTTAGCAGTTGTGCAGCCCCAGATTGGTCATTCCCAGCTGAGGGCAGTTAATGCCTTAACAAACTGGTCATTAACTCCAGTAACTGATTTTGTGGGAATTATTGCACTTATAAAATACATTCAAGGTTTGTTTTTTTTTCTTTCCCTTTTAAAGAAACCTGCAGCTGTAGTTCAGCTGGAATAGCTGAAGGAGGAAAAAAAATCAGCTCTCCAGGCTGCTCTCACGATCGATGTTCTGCCAATTAAAGGGCAAGCGTGTGCGGATGGGTTTGGAATTTTAAAATGTCTTCAGTGTTTTCATCTCTGAAGTGATTAGTAAAAGCACCATTTAGCTACTAATTTTGTAAGACACTTGGGATTTTCCGTTCGCAGTTCCATCTCGCAGAAATATGAGTTCTGAACAGGAGAACTCAAGGCCAAGTTTCCGCTTCTGCAGTAGACCCAGCCCAGCACTTGGTACGAACAGAGCGAGCGCGCCAGGCGTGGGCCACGCCATTAGCCAGACTCTCGCTCCCTCCCATCATACTCCACACCTTCGCTCAACCAAGGGAACTCCCTTCGGGGTCACCCAGGCTCCGTGAGAAGATGAGAGAAGTGGGTGAATAAGCCCCCCTCCGTCAGAATAAAGTAGCGTCAAGGCACTGCCGTACCCCAGAAGGTCTACATAAATACAACACAGTTCAAAAGTCACAAATGTCTTTAAGTTTCCTATAGAGTTAGAGCCCTTTATACGCTCTCAATCTGGTGAAAGCACCACAGGCAAACACACCACTTAGAAGACAACTGCAACTGTACTGAGCATATCACCGACCACACTGAAGGCCAACAGAACACCGCGGGTGCGTGCGGCCGCCGCGTAATCTCGCATTTAACTTCTCTGAGCAGACACTGCAGACGCCCGCCCGGCATGATTATACAGCCTCCGCTAGAACTTGAAATCGGAGAGGCCAATTTTTAAGAATGCAACCACACTGGACAGTCTCCTGTTTTTTAATGTATTTGTTCACAGCCAAATCTAGTAAAGATTAGAGATACACAGACAGAAACTCAGTTTTTTAACCACGACTTGAGGGGTGGGGAGGATAACTGCAGGTTACAACAACCCACATGAAAACAAGTGTAACAACAGTTTTGTGACGCAATGGTTTGTGAATAATGGCTTTTGTGTCCAACTATTTAATTTAAAAACTGTAAGAAACAGAAATTGCAAATCTATCGGTAAGCTCAATAGCTCTGTTACATTAAGGTGTTCACTAAATAAGTACTCTAAAACCTG